GCTAATGTAATATCTATAAAGGTATATCATGGAAGACAATTCAAGGCAGTACCTTACAATCCCGCTAATGTAATATCTATAAAGGTATATCATGGAAGGCAATTCAAGGCAGTACCTTACAATCCCGCTAATGTAATATCTATAAAGGTATATCATGGAAGGCAATTCAAGGTAGTACCTTACAATCCTGCTAATGTAATATCTATAAAGGTATATCATGGAAGACAATTCAAGGCAGTACCTTACAATCCCGCTAATGTAATATCTATAAAGGTATATCATGGAAGGCAATTCAAGGCAGTACCTTACAATCCCGCTAATGTAATATCTATAGAGGTATATCATGGAAGACAATTCAAGGCAGTACCTTACAATCCCGCTAATGTAATATCTATAGAGGTATATCACGGAAGACAATTCAAGGCAGTACCTTACAATCCCGCTAATGTAATATCTATAAAGGTATATCATGGAAGACAATTCAAGGCAGTACCTTACAATCCCGCTAATGTAATATCTATAAAGGTATATCACGGAAGACAATTCAAGGCAGTACCTTACAATCCCGCTAATGGAATATCTATAAAGGTATATCATGGAAGACAATTCAAGGCAGTACCTTACAATCCCGCTTATGTAATATCTACAAAGGTATATCTTGGAAGGCAATTCAAGGCAGTACCTTACAATCCCGCTAATGTAATATCTATAGAGGTATATCATGGAAGGCAATTCAAGGCAGTACCTTACAATCCCGCTAATGGAATATCTATAAAGGTATATCATGGAAGGCAATTAACGGCAGTACCTTACAATCCCGCTAATGTAATATCTATAAAGGTATATCATGGAAGGCAATTAAAGGCAGTACCTTACAATCCCGCTAATGTAATATCTATAAGGGTATATCATGGAAGACAATTCAAGGCAATACCTTACAATCCCGCTAATGTAATATCTATAAAGGTATATCATGGAAGGCAATTCAAGGCAGTACCTTACAATCCCACTAATGTAATATCTACAAAGGTATATCATGGAAGGCAATTAAAGGCAGTACCTTACAATCCTGCTAATGTAATATCTATAAAGGTATATCATGGAAGGCAATTAAAGGTAGTACCTTACAATCCCGCTAATGTAATATCTATAGAGGTATATCACGGAAGACAATTAAAGGCAGATTCTTACAATCCCGCTAATGTAATATCTATAGAGTTATATCACGGAAGACAATTAAAGGCAGTACCTTACAATCCCGCTAATGGAATATCTATAGAGGTATATCACGGAAGACAATTAAAGGCAGATTCTTACAATCCCGCTAATGTAATATCCATAGAGTTACATCACGGAAGACAATTAAAGGCAGTACCTTACAATCCCGCTAATGTAATATCTATAGAGGTATATCACGGAAGACAATTAAAGGCAGAACCTTACAATCCCGCTAATGTAATATCTATAGAGGTTTATCACGGAAGACAGTTAAAGGCAGTACCTTACAATCCCGCTAATGGAATATCTATAGAGGTATATCCCGGAAGACAATTCAAGGCAGTACCTTACAATCCCGCTAATGTAATATCTATAGAGGTATATCATGGAAGACAATTAAAGGCAGTACCTTACAATCCCGCTAATGTAATATCTACAATGATATATCGCAAGAGACAATTATAGACAGTAGTTCACTAACCACCTTTTTGTACGTTCTCTAAACTCAGTCTTGGAAGCTAATTCGAAAGAGTCCGTTATTAATCATTAAACTGACAAAGAATAAGATATGTCATGAAAAACATTTCTTTGAGATCTCACAAACCTGCCAATGTACTGTTATCAGTCGCCCATCTAACTTCAAGCACGTTTACCAAGTGGTGCACGAAATGCACGTGCATCACAACTTCCGTCTAAAAACGGGTCTGAAACATGTTTAAATGGGAACCAAGCTGGCATGTGGCATCTTTCTGTGGACAACAGATACCTGTTTTGCTGCTGATAACTCGTGCTTGTTACTTGACAATAACTCAAGGAACTTCCAGATTTCACACTTCGAGTTGTCGAGTTCGATTCATCAGGCCACCAAATGTCATTCCGAAGAGTATCTTTCTAAAGTTAGCTTAAAGTAGGTAGACAAGTTTGTGTTAGCGCTAAGGTCGCTTTGTGGAACCAAAGGCGCATAAAGGACAGGAGTTTTCGAGAGGTTCAGCGTTTTATTATGGCGTCATTCGCGTCCAGGGTTAGGCTACCCCTGGACGTACAATATATTATAGTAGCTGTACAACGATAATAGGTGAAAATGTACATTTAGCAGCTATTTGCTTATACATACAATTCGTGCTTGATCACGTGACCTAACAATCAGCTCTCAGGGTCATTTTCACAAAATACCATTCATACCTGTCCCCGGTACAGACAATACAACCTGGCGAACTCTCACACAATCACAGACACACACCGTGGTGCACACAACGTCTTATAGACGGAGTACCACTCTCCAGGCAACAGGTTAACCCTCTCGCAGTCAGCAAAATAGCCATTTGCTTGAATGGGGTTCGGGTTAATAAGTACGTTGACTTCATGGTGCGGTAACAATGCTGGTTTCGCAGGACATTAATAATTTGGCAGACATGCTAAATGGTGAGTTCTGACAAGGTCTTTTACCGACTTTATGCACGTAGATTTCAAAACATAAAAATGAAAGTACATTTAATGCTTGGGGTGTTGTATGAAAACCGACATTTCTAAAATACACTGTAAAAACAAATTGCTATTTGTAACGTAAGGCATGGATTGGCGCGTAGAAATGAGCAACGTTCAAACTGTCATTAAGGGTGAAACGATGAATAATACGATGTAGGTTATTACGGGATGTATCAATAGTGAGCTTCTCATTGTAAATATCGACAAAACAAATAAGTGCCATTTTCAGGTCCGCAGAGAATACTACGTGCTTGGTACATACTCAACAAATCGCTAGCCAGTGTACATAAATATTTTGACCCATCACATCTGTCAACAATTAGCATATAAAAGAACACGTGTGGAGTCGTATTAATGCATATGAAACGTTCACAGTATTAACGTAGCAAACCGTGGAATCCACATGTGCCTCAGATTAAAGCGTAACGGTACATTATTACTATGCAAATACATTAGGGAAATGCCATTTTCATTAATTCGGTCAATGACTTGTGTGGCTATATCCATGTACCACTGGAGCTTCATTTAACAGTAACTGGAAGGAATATGCGACTTAAGACGAGGTAACCAAGGAATATATACCTCCATTAATTACGAGTCGGAATGTGACGACGAATGCCGTATTTCAATAAGATTACACAGTAACATCCAGGATCAAATCACCCATTCAAGATACATCCATATCTCTTCACCAGGGACTAACAAATCTCCCGAGGAACATTCTAAAACATCAGATCTCGTGCACCCACACATGCTTATGGGGATATTTAACTAGTCTCTTTTCCTGCGCCAGAAAATCGGCGGGAATTGAGTGAGAGTTAACACAGTCCGGAGCTGTACATAAAAAAAAGACCAGGTTAGCAAGCGAGACCTTTTTTTGCTTTGAAATCACAGAGTCAGAATTCGTGTTGCTCTTGTGGCCTAGTTCCTGTGTACAGCAGACGAGCTAGGCTGCTGGCTGGCTTGTGTTTTTCACGAGTTTGAACTATCGTCTGCGTCACTTGAGCAGACGACCAGCCAGGCCCGGCTGAATAGGACTGAGAAACTTGCGGATCACAGCTTGGAATCATCACTTTGTCACCATCCAGAGTGGTTTTAATCGACTGAATCTGTTGAGAGCATCACAAAGATGAGTTGTGGTCCCTGGTGTAACAAACGTGGGTAATCACAGACGAGTCAGTGTTGTTACGTTGTCGGGGTGTACACATAGGGAAGAAGGAGACAACGGACGCACTGTAGCAGGCTGCAAACACACACAGATTAGACAACTCGCTGCCTCTCACATGCTCTAATCTTAACACACGGGAGCGTTTAATTTCCATCCTTTCTCAACATTTAGAAATTTTAAAACAGTTTGATAGGAAACTTGAATATGTATGTCTTTCTTTCACATTACGACAAATTTCAAATACATATTCATTGAAAATTAATTCCAATATTTGTCACCGAAAGTACAACGATATAAAAGATGATAAGAACGAGATGTTGTAATATTTTTAATTTTAAAACATTGAGGTCACGCGTCTATGATTTAAAAAATGTTCACCTTTGAGCAGGTGAATAAATCAATAATAGAAATTATTTCAGGAATTTTGTCATAGCATGCATTGCAGGGATGCCCTGCTACAGTGACACGGGGAGCAAACACCATATATCAGTTCTCTCTCACTTTTGTCCCCTGGTGGTCTCCGTGAAAACACGCAGGAGCAGCTCCAGGCTTTCTTGAATCCACGAAAACACACAAATATTATTTCAAGGTGTTATGCCCGAAAGCATAACTGTCTGCTATCTGTTCCCGGGGCACCGTCTTATACCTGTCCACGGAACACCATTGACCGGTTGTCTGAGGTTTACATGGGTCCCCGTTTCCTCGAGTTAATGTCGTCTGGTCGTATGGGTCAGACCAGACGACAAAATGTCACAAGTTCAACTTGGTTGAATATACTCCATATACGAAGTACGGTGAAATATAAACACAATTATATGTACAAAAACATGGTTTCAATGTGTTGAATATGATAAAATATACATCGAGAACGCAGGTCTCCATCTAGAATATCGTCTGCTACACAGCCATGTGATAGAATGCCCTATACACATTGTCTCGGATGTGGGCTTTCGGCGATAACAAGTCTTGTCGCCTTATGATGCCCTATTACAACAAAAAATGTCACTCACTTGATCCAAGTGCTTTAACTGAGAGTTAGCTGATCCCACCCTGAGGGTCCCCGATTCTTGGTGGAGAGTTGGGGACCTGTCACATGAAGCCTGTTAAGGTTCCGCACGGTTCCCGGCAGTTGTCCGGCAGGACACCATGAGAATGTCTCGTGGGAAAGTAGAAACAGGCGAGGTTAAATTCGTGATGCTGTTGAATGCAAAGGAGTACAGAATGAGGTCTGACACACGTGGATACTGGCATGATGTGGTGAGGTAGAGCGTGATACGTCCGATCTGCATCAGAAAAGTTCATCCTCGTGAATATACTTTAGTGATGGGCGGGACCCGTTCCCGGTCGGGCTGACGGGGCCCTTCTCTTTGGGTTATGAAAGAAGCACATTGTCGTCTGCTATCGTCGAGCAGAAGCAGACGACATCCTCCCAGCGTGAAGGAGGTAAATAATTATGTCCTGATGTCCAGCGAAAGCTGCAATGTGAAACGCAGTCCATCCGTCCCTATTTGCTAGCTTAATGTCCGCTCCAAATTTCACCAGTAACTTGACAAGCTCTAAGTTCCCACCCTGAACACTATGGTGGAGGGCTGTCTGGCCCTCCTTGTCAAAAAAGTTAATGTTAATTTTACCATCCCGATCTTCCAATATCTTCTGAAGCTCTCCCGTGTCTCCACTTCGAACCGCTTCTTGGAATGTCTTTTGGTACGACGAAATCGTGGGGGGTGGCATGTGACTCATTCTCATGTCGCAGCGTACTCGGAGGTTCACAAACACAACAGCTTCGGACGGAGAGCAAGCGCTGTGACAGTACGTCTCACAGTGGTTTACAGGTAGCTAGATCACGAACAGTCAGTGACGGAGAGAGATTGCTGCAGTCGTGTCAACTCGTCAGCTAGGAATTAAATGAGGCCTTCCTGCAGCTAGATACCATCACAGTGCGAATAGAAATTTATTCAGGCGCAGCAGTACTGACATGCCTGTGATCCCAGCAGCCAATCAGAAAGCAGGACAGGGAATCCTCGCTGGCGGGACGACGATTCTCATTGGTCGACCTTTGTCCAATAATGTAATACTGGGGTTTATTCACAAGCGGCTGACCGTGGGAAAACCTGAGTCGCAGGCTTCGGCCTGTGGTATATGCAGGACAGTGTAATAGAATGCGGGGAACGGCTGGACGTAACTGCCCCGCCTGTCGGACAGCCTTTGAGGTTGGTGGCCTGAGAATCTTGAGCTGGGGATAAGAAATCAGCCATCGGCCTATCATCGACTGAGCATGTACACGATATATCTGTATAATACCCTTCAACTGACAACATTCCTCGACCGACTCCGCTTATAGCGGGGTTTGGGTTAGTGCGTGTGAACGACGGTCGATACAGCGCTGCCTCCGTCTCGGCCAAGGGTGACTGTTTCTCGCTATAGCGCGGGTAAACCACTTGTTCCTATCGCGAGTATTACGTCACAGCTCGCTAGTGTGGGCTATCCGTTTACACTGAGAATTAAAGGGGCCGTGTCAAGTTATTTGTTTCCTATTTTCTTGAGGGGCGAACGGTTTCAGCTTGTGTGTGGACTTTGTCGGCGCTATTTTACTTACAGAGCGTTATATGTTCGTGAAAACAATGACGTAGACTGTTGTATTGTTGTCATGGCATGGGTAGCGGTCGCGTCAGTCTTCACAATTTATGGCTTTAGGTGATAGTTATCGACGAAGGCGTAAAGCCTATTCTTCGTTGACCAAATATCTGAATAACTGCACAGAACCTGACACCGCTTTTGGCGGGTAAAAGGGCGGTCGGTGACGCCGAGAGTAGCTTGGCACGTAAAGGAACTACGTGTAACCTGGTGGCAATGTTGTACAGAAGGTCGGGACTGTCTTGGTAGTACCGTCAGGTGGTAGTACCGCCAGATGGCAGTACCACTAGGTGGTGTCATGTCGAGATAGACTAACCGCAGGTCAGAATGAGTGAGTTTAGTTTTACACTACACTCGGCAATATTCCAGCTAGATGGCGGCGGTCTGTAAATAAGCGAGTCTGGTCCAGACAATCCAGTGATCAACAGCATGAACATCAATCTACACAACTGGGATACGATGACATGTGTCAACCAAGTCAGCAAGCCTGACCACCTGATCCTGTTAGTCGCCTCTTACGACAAGCATGGGTTACTGAAGACCAGTTCTAACCCGGGTCTTCACGGATCCAGGTCGGAATGTATCATTATGGCATTTTCTTTCTGACAACAAAATGCGGAATACTAAAATCACTTTCTCTACTACTTCTAGATTTCACTACTACTACTACTACTACTACTACTACTACTACTACTACTACTACTTCTACTTCTACCATATATCACGTCCATGTTACTCCACTACTAACTACTACTACTACTACTACCACTACTTCTACTACCACTACTACTACTTCTAATACTACTACCATATATCACGTCCATGTTACACCACTACTACTACTACTTCTACTACCACTATTACTACTAAATTTACTGCTGTTGCTATTACTACGAAATCTACTACTGCTGCAACTACTAAATCCACTACTGCTACTACTACTACTACCACCATATATCACGTACATGTTACACCACTACTACTGCTACTACGAGTGCTGCAGCTACTATATACATATTGCTACTATGTCGCTTCGCGTACTGCTGCTACAATGCCACTTCTGCCACCACTATAGATTGCTATCAAATTGATTCTACTACTATGTATATTTCTATAATATTGCTTCTACTACTGCTACTGCACCTTCAGCTACTTCAGCTTCTTTAGCTACTGCTTCTACCACCCGAGTAGTCTGTCTCTCAGTCCATGAACCACAATATTTTCCCCACTGCCAAGCCCTATCTGCAATGATAAAGACCTAAATAAAGCAAGTCTAGATTTCCGCAGGTTCAGATTCTCTGGTCTCCATGGGGCTCCTGTTAAATTTAAATGGGCTTGTTTGTTACTATCAAAATTATATATATTCAGAGACTAAGCGCTAATCTACCACCCGAGCTGCTGCGTGAGAAGTCGTTAATGGATTTCAACAATGACGACAGTCCTCTATAGACACCACTGCATCATCAGACACCACCTACAGACTAAACACAGACACCACTTGACTAACAACTAGTCTCTGAACTGAACATATTTTACAGAAAAAAAACAGTTCACAATAAAAAATATATATATATACTGAAAAAGAGCGCCGAGATTTTCTTCACTTGCAGCCTGAAACTGTGAGTGGGTGAGTGAGGTTTACGCCGCACTGTGCAATATTCCAGCTATGTGGCGGAGGTCTGTAAATAATCGAGTCTGGACCAGACAATCCAGTAATCAACAGCATTAGCATCGATTCGCGCAGTTGGGAACCGATGACATGTGCCAACCAAGTCAGCGAGCTGAAACTGTGGAAATCTAGACATGCCACATATTTCTAGACTTGCATGGGCTACATTGGGTATATTTGTTTCAGGGTCTGTGTGGCAGACTAAGACGACACCTACAGACAAAGACACCACCTTCAGACTCAAACACAGACATCACATACAGACATGCTTCTGTTTTACTGATACCGGATTGGTGATGGATAACCTAGTGGTTAAAGCGTTCGCTCGTTACGCGGAAGACCCGGGTTCGATTCCCCACATGGGTACAATGGGTGAAGCCTATTTACGGTGTCCCCGGCCGTGATATTGCTGGAATATTGCTAAAAGAGGCCTAAAACTAAACTCACTCACTCCCTTCACATGCTTGTCGTAAAAGGCGACTAACGGGATCAGGTGGTCAGGCTCGCTGACTTGGTTGACACATGTCATCGTATCCCAATTGCGTAGATCGATGCTCTTAATGTTGATCACTGGATAGTCTCCAGACTGGATTTTTTTTACAGCCAAACGAACTTGTTTAATAAGGAACTGTACCTTAAGTCATGCAGTGTTTACTACGATTAAACCTGTCACTCGTCATTAAGTTTATCACAAACCTCAATAGGGTTAGAAACGGGTTGAAACATAAGTGAGTGTTTACACTGTCAGAACACACTCACTTTCTGCCGCTTCAACTTTATTCAAAATTTTGAAGTCAGACGAAGTCATATTTTAACAAAGACGATTTGAATGCTGACACAAATAAACAAATAAAGTATGTATATATATACCTCCTTGTGGCGGCGTATCGATTCCCGCATTGTTCGGATTTATGGGTTTATGGTTAATACCGACAAGTATATTGACGTACACGAGTAGGCACTTTACCATGTACACATGTATAACGTATCATAATCTTATCTGCATTACTTACGACATGCATATGACTTAAGGCACAACATGTACAAAACTCCCGAATAATCTTGATACGTTTTTCCAAAATAATCTAGATAAATAAATAATTTTGATTCATTTTATGTTTCATGCAAAGTACTCCTCTTGTTTGTCAATATTTTTTTTCAGTCTGAAGACTACATTAGAACAAAAGAAAGCATACGTCCGTATTTGATTGTGGATAAAAATGGGGGAAAAACAATCATTTGTTATTCGATGGTGTTGTGTTCTATACAGGTATCATAGTTGTATTTTTTAACTTAAATTTGAATTGTTTCGGTGTGCTCCGTCTGGCAACGTTTGATCAACGTTTGTTAATTAGTTTGCCAGTTTCAACTGCAAACAGTGTGCTTTCTTTCGCCCTTCACTTTATGGGACAATTATCGAGGTGTCAGCAGTCATTACGTTTTATCTGGATGGTGATATACATACGTGAATATATAGTTCATTTCAAATGCATTAAAACCAGGTGTGGAACGGTTTCATAGTGATTGAACTTTACGCCGCTTTTAGGAATATTTCAGCAATATCACGGCTGGGCGCACCAGAAATGGACATTGTACCCATGTGGGGAATCGAACCCGGGTCTTCGGCGTGACGAGCAAACTCTTTATCCACTAGGCTACCTCCACCGCCCATATTTCATCGAGACGGGTCACTTCCCCACGAAGACACTAGGGCAGAAATTCCTATGGTATGACAAATCTGGGTGTACAGAGCACACAGAGCCGGGTATTTATATACATACATATTTTCCAGTGTACTGTACAGTCACGTGGGTAGGCAAGAGGTTGACGACATCAGTAACGCTCCAGGTGTGAATTAACAAAAGCCACCGATTGGCAATTTTCAACTTGGTTTTGTGCTGTCGTGGCATGAATTTTGAACCCTGTTTTCGTATTGCCGTTTTTAATACATAGGTCATGTGGTTGTGTACACAGTTCATATGTGCGTGGTTCACGAGGTTCGCTGTATGAACAACGATGTACAAATCAAAACTGACATTTTAAAAAGTTACTATTGGCATGGTGTCAGTGATTCGCTTATTTCGGTTCAATGTATTCGTGAGATTACCATGATCACCTACACAGAAAGGGTTACCCGTCTTGAAGGCTGAATAATAGCATTAAGAAATTGAATTTTCGTATAATAATTATGTATACAGCCACCAAAACGTCTTTTATAACTGTATAACGTAGAAACATATTATATAACATATATAATTATCTAATTATTTAGCTCCCTTTCCTCTCAAATTAATTAATAACTTTGTAAGCCTTACTACCAAAGAAAACTTTAACCTCCTGTTAGAAATAATGAACCAAATAGTACAGATATAATCTGCTACCACATGTACAACTTTAAACAAATATAGAACATCTCTAGATTACCTAGGCCATTATTATACAAATTTGTATTATTATATGTTTTGTTGCTCTGATTCATTATATATATATTGTTAATGTAGTTTATAGAATATTGTCATATTGCTGAGTGCGGCGTAAAACTAAACTCACTCACTCACTTATAGAATATTGTCACCGTTTCTGCATGGAACGTTTGCACAATAAATATCTTCCCTCTTATCTAATCTCTAAGGCAGGTTTATGTGTTATGTATTGTATTAAAGATATCATATTGAAAGAAGCAGTTGTTTTATCCAACACAGACGTCGGATTTCGCATTTATCAGATAAGTCGACTTGTAATTAACAGCTTATTGTCTCTGTTAACTCTTCTTGTGGCTGTCTACATGTGTGTACGGGTACCTTGTTGGTGTTATTGCAGCGACTGTGCTGTAGTGACACGTAGATAAAATA